TGAGCCACCGCGCTCGGCCCATAATTACCTCTTAACTAGGCGTCTTGTCTTCAGTCTCAACCCTCTCCAATCCAACCAAAGTAACTTTTGAAAAACAAACTTGATCATGACATTCTACACAGAAAAATTTTCAGTAGCACTCTTATCTTCCATAATAAAAAAATCAAAGTCCTTTAGCATTGCATGCATAGCACTTAATGATCTTGCCCCAATTTGATTCTCCAGACTCAACTCTCCTGTACCTACCCTCTGAATGCCTACCTTCATTCCCAAATAGCAAATACTTTCCTCCTTGCAGATTTTTAATTCTCCAGATACTCTTTCTGATCATCAACCAGCATCCATTCCTTTCTCCCCTCAAAATATAACTGGAGCTCCTTTTGTAGCAAAATGTCTCTCCCCATTTCTCCTGTTTTTTACCCCAGCTAACCTCTTTTAACTAAAAACTACTAGGTCTTTAAGATAGCTTAAAATATAGAAAAAAAACTTTATCTGGGAAGTGAGCCTGGGAAATGGTGTGAAAGTATGGAAATGGTGGTGGGTAGAGGAATGGAAGAAAAGACTTGTACTTTTCCATTAATTTTTTTCTCATATTATGGGGGAAAAATTCTAGTTTTTAAAAAACTAAATACTTCACCTCCTCTAAGATGTTTTCTAAGGTCATACTCTAAGATCAGGAATGGAAATAAGTTTCACCTCACATGGCTATGATATAATAAAGAATATATATCTGGTCTTTGTCCCAGTTTCCTGGCACAGAGCTTCAAAAACTCTTGGAATTTTCTGAGTGACAGGAGTATCTTTTGTTATTCATAACAAGCCCCTTTGGACTATATCTGAGTCCATGCAAATGAAGTAACTCATGGTGGGCCCTTCAATAGAGGGAATGATCACATCAGAAAGACCAAGCACTAATTAGAGGGTTAGAACTTTCAACCTCACACCCACCCCATCCTCCTGGGAAGGGAGAGGGGCTGGAGAATGTGCTCAACCACGTGCTCAATAATGTAATAAGACCCCAACATAACTCTGGACCCCAAAGCTTGAAGAGCTTCCTGATTAGTAAACATGCTGACGTTTAGGAAGGGCAGTGTGCCCTGACTCGATGGGGATGGGGCATGGAGGTTCTGCATTCAGAACCCTTCCAGACTTTGTCCTATATGTATCCTTTATAATAAAGGTGTAATCATAAGTGTGTGTTTTCGGTGAGTTCCTAGAGTCAGTGCAGTAAGTTATTTGTTGCTCCATGAATTAATATAGATGTGTTTGCAGACAGGATTTGTCTTAGGAGTTTTTCAGAGCTTTGCCCTGAAGGAATATGTGAACGTGTTGGTTTGCATTTCAAATGCTGTTACACTTGAAAAGGTGTCTCTGAAAGACAGTAGCGGCTGTATCCCACAAGGCGCCGTGTTTCTCAGACCTAAAGGTTTGGATTTGCTTTGTAAAGCAAAGCAAATCTGTTAAAAACTACAGGATGAGAGCTGACAATGGAGTGCCCCCCGGAACAGACGGCTGCCCAAATGGCTACAAGCAAAGCTCTTGTTTAAACACTCTAGACTACCTGTCTCCATTCACAATAACCTAATAAACATGGAGCCAACATATCTCTGTTTAATCCCTCTGTTAAGTGATAAATTTACCTTAGAACTTAGAAGTTAATCTTTGAAAGATTTTGTAACCATTTGTTCACGTAGATAGAATTAGTTAAAGGATCTGTAGAAGTCTTTTGAAAATCTGTTAACCTGAGAGGAACTACCTGTTGTTATGTAAATCTGTTACCCCTGGCAATTAATCACTATTCCCTATAAGTTACCATGTAAGACCTCATTCGGGGCTTTTTGAGACCCACAGAGAAGGTCTAGGCCCCCTGAGATCCCGCTTTGCCTATAATCTTCATAAACTTATAAAACGATATCTTTGTCTCTGTGTATTCTTTTAGTTGTTTTATTTTCCATTTTTCTCTATTATTTTCTTATGCTTTGTGACTCTACCAAAGGGACCCGGTTTTTTGCTGGGAGCTTAGCTACCTCCCCGCAGTTACTGAACCTGATTGGGGATGTTGGGGGAGTGGGAATCCTGAATTCGTTGCCAGTTGGTCAAAAGTATAGGTGGCCCTTGAGACTACTGGCTGATATCTGAAGTGAGCGCAGTCTTGTGGAGGACTTTGCCCTTAACTTGTGGGATCCGCTGCTAACACTGGGTAGTGTCAGAATGTGAACTGCAGGACACACAGTTGGTAGTCTGTCACTAAAGTAGAAAAGAGGCTTCTAGAGGCCAGATCTAGTATCACCAAGAAAGACTGCTGTGATCAATTCTTGACGTCTGCCATGAGAACAGGTTATGCAGGACTATCAAGAGTGTAGCATAATTGCCATCCTTGATAGTATGTCATCAATAAAATCTTTGTGCCAAAAATGAACAAACTCATCCAAGGTTAAGAAATTAGTGTTTCTACATACCTGGTTGGCAGCTTTTCAAAGTCAACATCTAAGAATTGTTCATAGCTAGAAACAAAATTGTCCAACCATAGCTTCAGGTAATCTGGATCTTTCTGAAAGAAGAAAACCATTACAATATTCAACATATCTATTGGGAAAAAAATGTTTTCACATCTATTAAGCACATATTTAAAGAAACAATAATATGAAATCTCTAAGTGATATTCAGGAATACATATGTGTTGTTTTAAAATATGTATTAAGTATGGTGAACCCTCAATTGGCTTTCCATGTCACTCAGAGAGCTAAAGTCTTAACAATGTTCTATGAGATTCTAAACAATCTGCCCTCCTATATCACTATGACCTTATTCACTGTTAGTCTGTACTACAACGGCCTCCTGGCTGGTCCTGAGACATGGCAGACATGCTCCCACACTAAGGCCTTTGTCCTGGCTGTTTTCTGTACCTAGGACACTCTTATCTCATATACCTGGCAGGGAGGCTAACTCCCTCATCTTCTTCAAGTCATTCTTTAAATAACATATTCTCAATGAGGCCTACTTTTTACCATCCTTCTTAAAATTGCAAACCTTCTCACTGCCCTTCACTTTACTGTATTCCGTTTCCCCCCATCATCCTTTACCGTGTCTTATCATACTCTATAATTTACTTATTCATTTATTGTTTGTCACTTCCCCTAGGATGTAGATTTTATAAGTACAGAGATTTTTATTTTTTTGTTTACTAATGGATACCAAGTGTCTAAATCAGTACCTGGTACTAAGAAGGTGCTAAATAAATTTTATTTGTCCAGTGAATTAACAGGAAGCATAAAATGCATAAATAAAGTCAAATTGGAACTCTAAATATAAAAACTGAAACCAACACTTTCTAGAAGAAAATATAGACTATCTTTGCGGCTCATGCCTGTAATCCTAGCACTCTAGGAGGCCAAGGTGGGGAGGATCACTTGAGGTCAGGAGTTAGAGACCAGCCTGAGCAAGAGTGAGACCCTGTCTCTACTAAAAATAGAAAATAATTAGCTGGGCAACTAAAAATAGAAAAAAAATTAG